AAGCAAAAACATGTTGTATGTCCTCTTTAACACCTTCCACATTTGCATACGTTTTCCCATTAAGATGGTGTTTCAGCGAAAAAGATGGTAATCTGATGGTGCCATATCTGGATAACATGGTGGATGGGGGAGAACTTCCTAACCAAACTCCATAATCTTGTATTGCGTCAAACGTGCCACATGTGGACGTGCATTGTCGTGGAGAAGAAGAACACCTTTCCGATTGACGAGTGAAGGGCGTTTCTAATAAAGGGCTTGATTTAAACATTCCAGTTGCTGACTATAGATCTCTGCATTGACAATTCGCTGTGTATTGAGGAGTTCGAAATGAGTTACTCCTTTGATATCCCACCAAATGCAAAGCTTCACTTTCTGCGGATGGAGTCCAGGCTTTGGGGTCGAAAGAGTTTTTTTTTTTTGTCTAGGACTGAGCCATTGTTTTTGGCGTTTAATATTCGCATAGAGAATCCATTTTTTATCATCGGTGACAATTCTGTCCAAAAATGGTTCACGCGCATCACACGCCAGAAGAGATGAAGCAACGTTCACACGTTGGAAACGATGATCATCGGAGAGTTCGTGAGGCACCCAAACACCTTTTTTATTGAGTTTTCTCATATTACTTAGATGTTTACGTATTGTTTCATGAGAGACATGCAATTTCAGGGCCATTTCACGAATGTGTTGCCTTGGATTAGACTCAACAAGCGTCTTCAGGGCATCAATATAAATTCCAACATGTCGATCATCACAGTTTTTAAGGCTAAAGTCATCTGAACGAAATTTGCTGAACCATCGTTGACAATTACGAACATTCAAAACATCTTTTAAATTCTTTGTGGCTACAAAGGCGTTGTTTCCCTTCTTGTATTCAAACAGCATAACATGCCGAATGTGTGTCTCGTCGTGTGCCATCACTATAAGGGATTAGAGGATACTAAACTTTACACATTGTATAGGCTACACTAACGTGACAGTTAGGCAGTTCATTTAACTATTATACGTGATGTACGTTTTATGGGGGTTGGTTAATGAAATTGTTCCAAGACGCGGCGTTAATTTCTTGACGACCTAATAGTTGCCTATTGTAACAAGCTTCCAGGACGGGCGGCGAGGTTATGCTTAGATTACATATCATTTCCATTGTACGTCAGATTCCAAGATCATGCTTAACCTGAACAAAGGCATAAAAGTCTGTCGGAACAACAACAGTGACTTGATAGGTACATTGTTAAATTGGATTGCTGTTATCTTAGTTTCTTCAGTTATCTTTCTAATGAAAATAGCCGCTGATTTTGATTTGTGGCTGAAAGTTTTCGAGCTTTTCGCTTGTGAAAGTTTAATAGCTTAAACGCTACCAAGAGATTCCCAACTTCATCACAATGGCTCTTTTGACCGTATGGTTCTTTTACGTAACCACAGCTTCTTACTTAGGTGCCGACAGCATTCAATGCTTTGGCTTGGGTGCAGTTGGGGAGTCTGTTACTGCCCTAAATGCTCTGATGTGCGAGGTTTTCCTTTTCCATGGAGAACATGGAAGCTGTGTTCTTCAAAATGTTATGCCCCTTGGCTATACATGTTTAACAGCATGACTATATAAACACCCTTCTTCAAAAAAGAGCTATGTCATGTCCTTCCAACATCCAGTCATAAGTGTAACCATGGTTAAATTACACTGTAGAATACTTTGTAATTCGCAATGAATTTGTATACGGAAATTGTTCTTATAAAGTGACTGTATTTTAGAGTTAAACATTTCAAGTGTTTTTAGGTCTAAGGTTTGAAAGAAGCTTTCGATTTCGTTTTCTAACCACAGGAAATAGACTTGGCAATATCTTCCATCCATATGTCTTATGATAGGACCTTCTACGTCGATTACACCATACCCATTGCAAAAGACGGTCATGGAGCTATGATAGAAACTCCTAACAAACAGGTAAAAAGTTTATGAACATGTCTGGACTAGACTCTTAATTCAGGTCTAGGAAACACAGAAACACATATAAAGAAAAACAACTTGTGCACATCATAGAATTAACGATATGTGTAGTGAACACAGACAGACGTGCACGATTTAGACTTAAGAGAAAAATATAGTGTAAACAGACATACGAAAAGTAAATTTAAAAAACAAGGACAATGAATAAATAGATCTCATAGATCTCACAGGACTGCACGGTGAACACAGAAATCATGCACGATGTAGATATAATAAACAGTTTACACAGTTTGCACAATCTAATAGTGATGTGTACTGTAAAAACGGGTACTGTATAAAAGTGAGAACAAAGAATAGTCTGTTATGAACACAAATGGATTACTTAAATTGTAAAGGATAATGTTCGCAACAAGTAAACTCTAAATAATTGTTCTTATTCAGTTTGTTCATGCTATACACACTATTTCAGTTTGCCGCGTAAGACTGACAAGTTTCTTGAGTTGAAATAGAGTTTATTTCATTTAGACTTACTATAATATTGAAATGTAAGGTCAATTAATAAAGATAACAGTAACGAATTTTTTCTAGTTGTACTGCTACCCCATAAGTCTTGGACACTAGGGTGGTAAAATAATTGTTTCTCCTCAGACAGACCAGTAAAATACAAGAAATAAAAAAAAATATGTTTAATTAGATGTAGGGATGACTGGTGCAAAAAGAACAGAAACAAGAAAGAGATGCTAATATTATATTCTGTATAAATACACCCTTCACTCCACGACCATCCCTATATTGTGCTTTCACAATGAAGGGAGGGTTGGAGACGTAGCTAGTTCATTGTTCATCTTAGGTTTTAGGTTACGAATTAGAAGTGCTTCCTCGTGGACGCTAAGAAAAAAGGAAGCACTCCAAATTCGTAACCTACAACCTAAGCTGAACAATCAACTAGCTACGTCACTGCATCTCAAACTATGATCAACTCATCGTGCCTGAGATTAGCACTGTATATTTGTGTGTGATTTAGCTGAAGAGCTTGCTTCGTTTTTAAGTTACAGTATGAGGAGAAGAAAAAGAATCAGAATACATAAGAAGAACAAATGGGCGAATTTCAACCTCCGTTTTGTCGCTACGGACAAAGGTTGACCGAACTTTACGAGTAGTCTTGTGTATGAATGGTCAAGCCGTTCTCACAGGCTATGTACTGGCTGCCATTTTTTTTTCTGTGTCATCCCTACATAAATAAAAGATGTTAACAGTAATTTTGGGATTTTTTACCCACAACTAGTAATCGAGGCCACTGAACCACACATTCCCGGGAGAGAGATGTCATTGTTTGTTATGCAAAGCAGGTTGAGTAATTTTTGGTAATAAAATTAGAGAAAAACAACAACTTTACTCTCCAGATAACAATCAAAACTTTTATTTCAGCCAATAGTTCGCCCTTGCGGCTTCATTAAGGCTAGTAGTGCAAATGAGTAATTTCTGGTAACACACTTTTGTTTTTATAGTAACAATCAACGATGAGAGTTCAAGAAATACTTAATGTGCACTTTAAAAGTACTGTGTAGACAGAGCAATTTAGATACGTTGGTGTATACTAAGTTCATATTTTAACTTGAGTATCGTTATTTAGATTATTTTCTGTACTAAACTATGCATTTCTATAGCAGCCAAATTTTTGACCCACGTATAAAATGTTAAAGTCTACGAAATCTCTATTTGAAAGAAAAAAAAAGTTAAATTATTGTAGAAACACAGGTTGCCTTAGAAGTTGAAAATTAGTTTTCAAACGAAGACTATCTTCTCCATGAAATGAATCGGGCGCGGCCTTGTAGTTTGAGTACTCGAACTGTGAACCGGAGGGTTCAAGGCTCGCGTCCCGTTACCGTATAACCTCACCTCACATTTTGAGGCCGAAGGTGCAGAATAAGAGTGATGGCACAAGCACACTATTTGTTAGAAGAGTAGCCCGAGAGTAGGCGGTAGGAGCTGTTGAATAGCTGCTTTCCACCTAGTCTTACCAGTTCAAAATTAGGGACAGCTCTGCATAGATAGTCCTTTGCATAGCTGTGCATTATGCATTACGCGAAAATTCTAAAAAACAAACCTCATAAAATCAGTAATGGAATATATCGGGAAACAGGAGGCTTCTGGTTCAAAAGTGTATACTGTTTTATTTTATTAGTTTATTTTATTTTTTTGTACATTTAATGGGTGAAGTAGGAAAACAGTTTCGTCGAATAAATGACATGGTATGTTCCACTTACAAATAATATCATGCAACTATTAATACACGCGATCTCTGACTCAACGGCAGAAAATACGACTATCGTGGTACAGTACGTGGCTGTGTAGGGCATGATATAGGGATAATTTTGCTGTGCTGTTTTCTTTGATCAGAGCAGTCGTCAAGGTGTTTCTATCTACCAAATGAAAATGTTGTGATTCTTTGAAGTGTAACATTTTTTACAATTTTACTTATAAATATTGTAATACATAAACACCTCTACAGTTTCTTAGTTGTTTCCCGGTGGGTCAGTGGTAAGTTTACGGAGTTAAAACGCAAAATATCCGGGGTTCGATACTCTTGGTAGACACAGCAGATAGCTCAGTGTGGCTTTGCGCTAAAACAAATACACAAACGCACACTTTCCCAATCATACTTTTCGACGTTTTATAGACTGTTTTCTCAAACGCGTTAGTAACAGTTTCGGGGTCTAAAGACAGAATATATTTACTTCATCGCCCCATCATCGTTTTCGCTTTGGAATGCTGTCACTAAGCTGAAATATTTGTTTTCTGTACATACATGTATATATATATATATACATATAAAATATGATGTTGCTCATCAGTATTGAGATTTCAAAAACAAAGAACTGACTTCAAGATATTGTTTACTGCCTCCCACATTAAGAGCTTGACAGTAAAATAATGTCATGTAACTAATTCACATATTGATGTTGACAGTCAATTTCTCGTTGAGCAGAGCTCTAGCAGTATGTATACTTCTGCTGTACGTTTGCAACGAAACGTTTTTATCGTGATGATTGTTTCACGTATTCTCAGGTGCAACGAGCTAATTTAGGGAAAGAATGACACCCATAAATAACAGGAGGAGAGGCAGAAAAGTACCACTAAGTTTGAAGAAAGAGACCAAACACAGTGTAAAATAGAGAGCAGAGTAATTGACAGTACTGTTTTTAAAATGGAGAGGGCTTTCGGTGTTAGAAATAGATCTGACCAAAATCTGAGGACATTCTGAATAAGACTGAAAGAGTATAACAACAATGTATAGAAAATATAACAGCACAATCTCTCCCAGCGTGCTTGCACTACACACCTTACTAGTCATTCCATAAGTAAAAATAGTGAAAACATCCTTCAGGTATCATTAAAAACCGCTATACAGCTGATGTCGATAGAGAAACTACACAATGTAATAAACAATGCAGCTTTACAGTAACCTTTTCTGTGAAAAATATTTAAATGGTACAAAAGGAAAATGATCTACGACAATTAGTAACTAGAACACTAGCAAGTTAGTTACCTACCATAACCAGTTTTCTATCGTTAAAACCTGTGTGTAAGACACTATCAAATTAGTTACCTACCATAACCAGTTCTATATCGTTAAAAACTGTAAGTAGAACACTAGCAAGTTAGTTACATACCATAACCAGTTCTCGCTAGTGTTCTACTTACAGGTTTTAACGATACCAGTTACATACCATAACCAGTTCTTTATCGTTAAAACCTGTAAGTAGAACACTAGCAAGTTAGTTACATACCATAACCAGTTCTCTATCGTTAAAACCTGTACACACGCACGTACCATTTGCGAAAAATTTCGAAAATAAATTCCAGATGAACGTAGAATGTTCACCATCTTATCTTATGGTTCGAGTTTTGTTGAGGAACGATGGAGGAAGGAGACACATCCACTCATTAACGTGAAATACTTAGATATTAAGCACGTGTAATAAATATAATCAAATCGTATACAACTAATTTAAGTTCAACCATTGGGTAAAACAGAGATGTGAAACATAAAATATTAAGCATGAGTAGTTAATATCATCAAAATGTATATAATTAATTTTAAGAAGTACCATTTGTCAATAATGTCTCATTTTCGTAATATGTTAATATTACTTATAAATCAATACTGCTATTATAATTGTATATCAGTTCTAACACTTAACATAAATTTCGAGAGCTCCGCCATATAAACAGATGTTTTCTGAACTTGTTATAGAGAATTCTATCATTTGTTTGATTTGGTGTGTTAATTAATATAGATATACACTATTTGTTTACCATTTTTACTCTTTTTCTCTTTCACTGCGAAGAATTCTGGTAATAAATTCAATCTGGCTTTACCTTTTGAAAGTAATGTGTTTTTCGTGATGACTGTTACCACAACACTAATGGCTGTTGTTTTAACGCTGACGTCTAAGGCTCCCTCTGAATTTCTACTGGCTGTAAAAAACAAGGAGTTAAGATCCTTCTTTCAGAACCTAAAATACTCTGTTTTTGATTGTTATGGATATTTGTTATTACAAGGTAAGTCCAAATAATACTTTTTTCTTTTAAAAATGTTTAAAAGTGACAAGTTTGACAAACCAACTTTGTATTTAAAAATTACAATGTTCTAAATAATTGAAAATTTTGTATAAGCGAGAACCGAATCTGTGATTTTGTTTCTTTTGAAATATTTTATCCAAATCTAATAATAAACCTTCTATAGCTTATTTGTTTAAAGCAGCGCAGATTTGTTCTCAAATCACAAGTTCGAATCTTACCAGACCTTGTTTTTTTATCATATCAAAAAGCAATCCTGACACCACAGCATGGTGTACATTTTTTAAATATTTCATTATTTGAGTTAACAATTAATAAGCAACATTAACTTCCGACCTGAGCAAGCTATTCACTTTGAGTAAAACTAAAGATAAATCTGTTTATGAGTATAATATAACTCGTTAGATATATATTTCCTACGTTTTGCTTATAAATATCAGAATGTATTGTTTCACCATAGATATACTTGCTGTTAACTGTATTTGAGGTAGCTTCAATATCCAGTCAGTGGCCTTTATACTTTTTTTTTAAGGAGGTGGTACCATCTGCATATTTCAAGATTTTCAGCTTAAGTCAAGTGATCTTAATCCATTTCAATTTGCCTTTTAGCGCTTCAGTTGTAAGCTGTCCACCTTATAAATTCTACAAATTAAATAACATCCAGATCATTGTCTGACACTCTACAAGATCATAAACTATTCCACAACCGTCATGTTATAATCTGACCATTGCTCCTTGACCTCTAAAAGATTGCGAATGAACTTGATTGAATGAGTTGAGAAACCCATTAACTGCAATATTTCGTGTGTTGAATTATTTCATAAAATTGAAATTATTCACATAGTTGATGAAGCACGTACATAATGGCTGGTTGAATTTTTTTGCACTTTGAATCACATTCCTAGTTATGAAAAATTGTCTTTCAACTGTAAAATCATTCTTTTTCTGGCGATATTTCTTTTGTTTTTAATGACCTACTGTTCGTTATTATCTTTAAGAGAATTCTATTAACGAGACTAATCAATGAAATAGTTCTGTAGAGGTACATATATCGCATCATGTTGAGTAGTTTTATCTTTTTTTGACTGTTACAACAACGTGTTTTAGAGAATTGACCACTAAAATTGGATAAATTACTCGTTTTCTATACAAAATACATAGGGGTATCTATGCAGTAGTAATTGTTTTGGATTAATGCAATGTTATTTTGTTTAATTCTGTGTGTGCAAGACTCGTGTAATACTAGGGACCATGTAACCAACAAAGTAATAGAACAAATAATTATTTTAAAAATGTGTTTATATAGCTGATAGGGCTCATACGGATCCCCACCATAATTGTAGGAGTAATCTGCTGTAATTTTTCAAAAAATTTATACATAATTTTGGATAAATCTCAAAATATTATAAAAGTAATGTTCACATTTTATTTAAAATAGCTACAGTTGATCTCTGAATGGTTTATTTGCAGATTCTTTATAATAATTACATTTTTTACAGAAAATATAGGCATAAAATAATATTTTTTTAAGTTGTTTTACATGTTCACGGTACCCCAATCGGTATTATCAGCCAATAACAAGAGGAAACCAAAATACTGATATGTAACAAAAATCCAATTGCCTGATATATCATTTTGGTGTATTCACATTACATTTAATATATATACAAGTGTATATATATATATATATATATTAATAGAAATGTTATATCTATATTTATTTATATATATTTCTTAAGGTAATGAGAGTAAACCTATTCGATTCGGCAACAGAATCGCCCTCTGGTGGATATGGGTATTCAGTTTAATCATGTTCCTCAGTTTTTCCACCAAGTCTACGTCTCTGAAGGCTGTGACGTCGTATCACCAACCCTTCGAGACATTCGAAGAACTTTTGGACAATAATGATTATACGATGACACTAGTTAAATATGGTTTCATGCACAAAACAATGTGGGTACGTTATAAAATTTGTTTTAGATTTCAAAAAAAGCTAGATTGAATATTTATGTGGTCTTTCCTTTAATTTAGCCTACATATTGTAGAGAATAAATCTTAAAATTGTCTTGGTAATTATGTTTATTGTATGTTTTTAATCGGAGATATATCAAAGTTTTAAACGGAAATAATACTATTGTTTGTCGTTTATCACCAACGGTTACAGAAACCAGCGCTCAATGTAATTCTTAAGACTTTTCGTTCATAATGGAGCTAGTACATCAGTTAAACCGTTTTTTTCTTTCTTTATTCTCTTCTCAAGGAAGGCAATCTGACCACAGCTGTTAAACTTCGGAAGAGAGAAAAAGATGGAAAAGTTAGATTTGTCTCATCATTTAATGAAGGGCTCAACGTAGTTCTCAATTCCAAAGAAAAGCACGTCTACTTTTCATCCACTTATACCGGAATACATAAAGTAAATAAAGACCCCGCCTTCAGAACCATCACTGTGATTGGACCTATGGTCAGAGAGGATGGCCACTTCGTCATGCCCAAGAATTCACCTTTTAGAAAAGAAATTGTTCGATGGTAGATGACGAATTTTTTTATCGGGAAAATAACCAGATTAACATGTTATTTTGTTAATATATTATAAGTAACGATTAGATATATAAAGTATTATACTACAGTGCAGCATAACCTTTAGTTGGTTGCTCTGTGTCCTCTAAAACTCAGTAATACAAGGTTCTGCTATTGCCCTGTCTGACTGATCTGTGAGTCGCGAAATAGGGTACAGTAAGTCAAAAATTCAAATTTAAGATAATTTAAGGCTATCCATTTTTGACGAAGTATTAGCATTTAAGATCATGTAATTTAGCGCATTTAATTAAATGCATAATAAATGCCTCTACAGCGAGAATTGATATACATAACACTTTACTCCAATATGAGCTCCGGTGGGACAGTGGTTAGTCTAAGGATTTACAACGCTCAACTCAAGGTTTCGATTCCCCTCCGTGGACACAGTAGATAGCCTGATGTGGCTTGCTATAAGAAAAACACACTCACTCCAATATTTTATTGTAACAAGATTTATTTATTATTTATATTCTGGTGTTGTGAATGTGTGTCAAAAGTTACGTTCGTTAGGTTAATCTGAAAAAAAATCAGTTTAAGGGAAAGAAAATAAACAAAAAAAAGACCTTCATCGTCTGGAAAGGGCAAAACGTTTTTTGTCTTGTATTGCTAAGGCATTACCCTTTTGTTTGTAATAAATACTCATGCTAAAGTAAAATTACGTAGAATAAAGTGCTGATATACTCTAAATTGTATTTATTATTCCTATCTAACCTAACTGCTACTTCCTCATACAGTTTACAGCTGATGAAGGAGGCGGGAGTTACAGCTAGACTCTGGTCAGAATTGATCCCACAAGGTCAACCAATCAAAGTGCAACAGCAGAAGAGTGAGCCAGTAAACATGAAGGAAGCAATACTACCATTTAGCATAATATCTGCCAGTCTCTTTCTGAGTTTTGGAACTCTCGTAGTTGAATTTGTGTTAGTTCGGTATAGAAAACCGTCGTCTCAGCCAACATAACCTTTCTTTCCATGTTAATTATACAGATAACACACAAATATAATTAAGTTTTAAATAATTAGTAGCACCGATTTTAACTAAAAAATTTACAATTTTATCTCTGTGTACATTTTACTAACTTACAACTTCGTTCTACTGTCTATAGTTAAATAAATGTAACTTTAGTTCTTACTTTAAAAATGTGTTAATGTAAGTATAATGTAACTGAAAGGTAAGAACAAAGCTATGTCAATTTCCTGGACACGTAATGCAAAAATACACAGTCACGTATACACTAAAATTGTGAGATAGCAATGTATTAATCATAAATAAAGATATCAAGCTTCTTTTGTTGAATGAGTTATTCAATCCAACTTTCTGCAGAAAATTAAGTATATATATACTACTAGTCTACTTTTATAATTTTAAATACTCCTCTTTTTCTACATAATGATTATTGTGTGTTGCACTTCAGCTCAATCTCTTACATTAGGCAATGTTAACATTTAAAGTTTTCAATCCTTAACCTCTAAACAAAAGCTTTATTAGAGATAGTGCGGCATTCAACACCACCACGGAGTCGTTTATAATAGAAGAATAAGCTGTGAGAAGTCTTCAAACTAGGTAATTAGCTAATTAATAGCTTCCTTAAAATATTTTCAACAGATCCAAGCAATCTTGAAACAATTCTATTAAGCTGACTCTTCATTAAGAGTAAACAGCAAATCAATTGTCAATGGAAAAATAAACTTAAAAAATAACACATTTCCAACAAAATAATAACAGATTTCCAAGTACTATAAACAAATGATGATAATTTTACCTTCTGGTAAAGACAATGATTACTTATGGAATTTTTGACTCTTCAACTAATGAGGATCATCTTTAAGAGTTATAAAGGGAAAAAGAAAAACTGAAAACATGGGTAAGAAGCCTGCGTATTCCTAATTATTATTAAAGTCATAAAATATTCCGTTTTAGAACGTTTTTCCATAATACACTAACAACAGGCGTTGTTTTACAACAATTTAAAATACTTGTAAAATGGACTATAACTAGAAAAGATTGTCTCTTGGAAACTAGGAATGTGGCCATACATAGTTATAACCAAGAATCTTGTATTATGAATAAGTACCTTTACATGCACAGTAACCTCAGTTCAGTAAGTACGTAGAAGCTGAAATTATTTCTTACATTATTTCATTACATGTTACAGCTTTTACAGAAAGGAATAATATTTTAAAACAGGTACGACGTTTCGATCACTGGTACGATCATTCTCAAATACACTTATACTTATAATCGGTAAGTAAACTCAAAATAAACAAAAGCAAAAAACCGTGGCAGGGATTTAGTTTTTAAAGGAAATAAACTTTCCCAAACTGGTGTGTCCAGGGATGTTAGCATACCCCTTCGCCCCGCTCGTGGTAATTTATTGGTTAGAATTATAATCGATTTAAAATTTAATTAGAGAGAACAAATGGGTATTGTTTTAAGGAAATTTTTACGTCATGAGATGAAGGAGAAATGTCCGGAAGGCTCGTGGCAGAGAGAAGAGCAAGGCTGATGGCATCGATGACGAGAAGAAGCAAGGCGACAAATGAAAGTATACAAAAAACCGTGGCAATGATTTAATTTTTAAAGGAAGTAAACCCAAAACGAAACTATTAACACTTACATTGTCAGAATAGACAACGCAGATCAGACAGCAATTGCCTCCCCACAAGCTAGAACTTAGTTCTTTTATGTACACTAGTTGAAGGTACCCATTAAGAAAGCAAAATTGGATCAAAGACGATGTTAAATAATGATTCCCTTTCTTCTTTGTTATTAAATCCCCAATGACCTCATTAAATGATGATTGCATACCCTGCTTTGTGGAAGGTAATAATTGACTTATTTAATTGATAAAGTACTTTTATCTTTAAATTAAAAGAAAAAGAAAGTCTATAAAAATGGAAATGTACTCTATTTCATTGTCATTTTATATCCCATTTTTGGCTCAAGTACCCCATCAGACAGTTTCCAGTTCCCATACCAAAATTTAATGTAATCTAGCCAGCTAGCTCTGGGTGATAGATGCTAACACACACATATACACATAACGAATCAGTTTCATTCTAAGATGAGTAAAAGCTGTGTCTTACTAACATGCTCAGCAACTGTTATTTTGAGAAATACACGATATATATTTTTTTAATTTTTTCCAATGTGGAAAAACGTTTTCGTTTTTAACTTATTACCATACACTAACCTTTAAAATAGAACTTGCAGATCTAAAAGCTTCAGTCGTGTCACAGACACCTAACTTCAAGAATATTTAATAGTTAAAGATGTTGCTGAAGTTCTCTGTTAACAATAATTCAGCCTTTATCGTAAAAATAATATATCTCACAAAGACAATTTCACCGAATTTCTCAAGTTCTTGTTAACAATAAAAACTAATTTCAAAAAAATGATATATATATACACACACACATACACTTACACAAACATATCACAATCACATTTTACTGACCTTCTCTGATAGTCCCAGATGCTGCTCTTCGAGTTTCTTATTAACAAAAAATTTAAAGCACTAGTTTATGCCACTGTTATTGCTGCTTGAGTTTGATAACATAGTTTAAATACTCATCACTTTAATAAGCACGAGTATTAATGCTCATATAATAACATATAATATATAATATATAACATATAATCAATAACATCAAATACACCATTTTTCTGAAGTTCAACAGTCACAAATGCTGCAGCCGTACAACAGTTACGAAGTTGTGAAATTTGGCAAGGAATGATACTAGGTCTAAGTCATATGTCTACTCCCCAACTACATAAGAAAACTGTTGTGGTGCTAATACTGGCAAAAGTAGTTCTACCCATTACTCATCCAGAAATCAGTTTCACCTGAGAATACCCCCATATCGTTTCTTCACGGATAAACATCAACTGGTAATGATTTTTTTTTCCACAAGGAGTCTAGTTTTAATGCAGACAATACTTTTGAAATTTTGCTTGAGAATACACCTCAAAAGGTCTTATTTTAAAAAATTTCCCGAAGAGTACCCCCATACTGACAATTTAACGAGGAGAACACCTCTGGCTGCGTTTCGCAACTTCTCCTCCAGTCTTCAGTGATCTCTTCAATCATTGTTGGTGCTCTTACCAGCTGCCCCCCAACCCCCGAATAAATTACTGGATCCACTTTTGAGCGTAGTTTGAAATTCCATAACTAGCGTTAGCTCTTAACTTGAAAAAAAAAATACATTTTTGTTTTTGTTTTAGATCAAATTCCAACACTTAATGTTTATCTCTAAGTAGATCTACTATCACTATTATTGCTATTTCTACCTGTTATTAGTATTTTGTTCATTATGATACATATTTTTTTGAAATATTTTGCTGCCTATGGTTTTATTTTAAAAGCT